CAGACAGAAATGGCTTGAGTGAATTCAGCCTGACGATGGCAATCCTAGATGTTGAGAACATCTCCTATTGTCTTCTACATGACTCAGGCCCTTCCCAGAACCCCCAACAGGTCACAGGAGACTTGGAGGAGGTTCAGTAGGGCAATCAAGCCAACCTAGAAATTAGAAACTGCCAGGTTCCAAGATATTTCTTTTTCTTTTTTTGAACAAAGGTCTCACCTGATAGCCAGGCTGACCTAAAGTTAATGACCCTTATCTGTCTTTGTCTTCTCCAAAATGGGATTATAGAAATGGACCACCACACCAGGCTTAAATATTTTTAGTTTTGAAAACAAAGGATTGCACATTAGAGAAAGTATTTAAAGTATTAAATGGTACTTTCAACTAAGCAACTGAAGAATACTTCACACTAACATGAAATTAGAGAAATACCTTAAAAAACTAATCTTGTCAAAGCAGGAGAGTGATTTACATAGCAGAGTTTCTGTAGGCTGGTTGGACTTCCTTTTTTTGCCCCTCCCCTTCTTTTTTAGCATCTAAAGCTCTAGATTCTAAACTGAACGTGTACAGGGGACCAGGTTTTATCTGATACGTGCTTTCCAGAGTGAGACTAGAAAAGTTCTGAGGCCCAGAGAATTCACCAATATATCTGCTTGTTTAAAAAGGGTGTGTGTGTGTTGAAGAGTTAAGGCACCGAAAGCTGAGATATAGGAAACAATAAAATACACTACTGAGACAGGAACTTCATAAAGGACCTAAAATAGTAAATTCCTTCACGCCCATCTCCTTATAATGTAAGAAAAACTAAAGTTTCCTTGTATTTACAACAGCTTAAAGTGGGGGGGGGCGCAAAAGTGAAAATCAGGGAGTACTCTCTCTCAAGAGCCCCTTATCCCGAAGCCAGGTCGTCCCCACCTCCACACAGACCAGCAAGGGCTTCCTCGAGTTCGCCGGCCACCCCCTGGCCCGGCTTCCTCGGACCCAGCGTCAGCCAGGGTCCCAGTACTCCTGAGGCCTTCACGTGGCCCCAAGTCCACGCCCACCGGGCCCTGCTGGGGCTCTGGCTCGCCCGTCCTGCTCTTTTTGGGAACTTTAGGTCTCCAGCTAGTGGTCAGAAGATTTACAAATAGGGGCACCGGGGTCTCGGGGCTCTACTCCGGCAGTGTATTCCAGAAGGCCTAGCTAGGCCGAGACGGCCGTTCCAAGAGAGCCAATCAGGTCGGCTGGGGCCTGCATGACACAGCACGATCTCGCCCAGGCTCCGACCCAGGCCCAACGCAAGCCCGACCTAAGGGGAGCGCGGGAGGGCGCAGCCTGGCCCCAAGGGCCCACTTGCACCGCCTCCCTCGCCTTCCTTCGCCCTCTTTCCCCAGTATCCACCTCGCAGACGCGCCCCCGAACAGGCCTCGCCGGGCCTACCCAGCGCGGCGGGTCTCGCGGCGCGCGCCGCCACAGCCGGCGGCGGGCACGCGCACACACTCACTCGGCTCCAGAAGCCATGGCGCGCGCCTCTCCTGGTCGGCGGCTGTGGCGGCCCGCGGGTAACGGCTACGAGAGTGGCAGGCGACCGACTCGGCCGGAACAGGACTCTCCCAGGAAAGGGACGAGCAGCAGCGACAATCCCGCAGGCAGCCTCCCTCTTGTTTCTTCCCAGCAGCACCAGGGCGGTGGGCGTACGGACCGGAGACGCTGGCTCCTGATCCGCGAGGGGGAAGCGGCAGCGACGACCCAGACCACGGCAGCAAACGCTTGGCTGAGACTGAGTCGAGAAGAGCCGAATCATCGGAAGGAAAGCTGCTGGCACCTCAGCCAATCAGCGGCTTGCTTTTGGACTTGTGCCCGCCTCTCCGTGCCTCTCCCCAGCAACCCACGGGACACAGCCAATCACAAAATTCGTTTATGGCCTGGCTCCCGCCTCAGGGATGCAACACGCCTAGTAACGCCACGTCAATTGGCCACACGCTACGCTTCCTCGATGGATTGGGACTCTCGACCAACCAGAGGAAGGAATAGAGCCAGATCGACTGGTGAAAGGAGAACCCTATTCCTTGGAGGAGGACTCTCCCACTTGGCCCTAGTTCATTGGCTCTTAAGCTTATATTCCCCTGAAAGAATCTGGCACAATGGACTGAACTCCTGTTATTAGGTTAGTACTCTGTAGTGATAACTCATACACTCACTTTCCCCCTGGATCCTCTTCACCAGCCCTTTTTGCTCCAGACCCGGATGTTGGTGGCTCACACGGGTAAACCTAGCTACTCAGAAGTACGAGACCCGAGGATAATAGTCCCAAGCTAGTTTTGGCAGGAAAGTCTGTTGAACTCTTATCTCCAAGTGGAGCTGTGGCTCAATTGGAAGAATGCTAGCTTTCAGCAGAAAAAAGATCAGGAACAGCGCCAAATCCCTGAGTTCAAGCCCCAGTTGTGGCACTAAAATAAACATAAATTTTAAAACAATGTGGCTCACAACTGAGATCTGGGGATCACAGTTCAAAGCCAGCTAAGTCGAAAAGGAAAAGCTGAAAGTGGAGCTGTGGCTCAAGTGGTAGAGCACTAGCCTTGTGCACAAAAAAATAAATAAATAAAAAGCAGAGACAGCACCCAGGCCCTGAGTTCAAACCCCAGGACTAGCACTAAATACATACATACATACATCATACACTGGCTCCAGAACCTAGGATAGTGACTTGGGAGGGAAGCTGAATCAGCATGAAAGTAAGTTCAAAGCCAGCTTGGGCTACTAAGGGAGACGATGTGCCAAAATAAGATAAATAAATAAGCTCCAGTGCTGGAGATAGTAATGCATGTCTGTAGCACCAGAAAGGGAAGAGGCGGAGGCTTAGGCAAGAGGATCACCAGTTCCAGGCCAGCCTAGCCTACTATTGCAACCTTGTCTTAAAACACAGTGGGGCTCCAGTGGCTGTAATCCTAGCTTCTCAGGAGATCTGAGGATCACACTTCAAAGCCACTATGGAGCTATGGCTCAAGTGGTAGAGTTAGCCTTGAGCAAAAGAGCTCAGGGACAGCACAAAGGCTCTGTGTTCAAGCCCCAGCACCAGCACAAAAAAAAGGGGGGGGTGGGGGAAGGAAGCTGAGTGGCATATACCTATAATTCTAGCTACACAAGATATCTGAGGGGTTGGGTTTGAAGCAGGTTCAGGAAAAAAAACCCTCAAGATTTTTTTGTTTTGTTTTTTATCAGTCGTGGGGCTTGGGGCTTGAACTCTGGGCCTGGGCGCCGTCCCTCAGTTCTTCAGCCCAAGGTGAGTGCTCTACCACTTGAGCCACAGCACCACTTCCATCCTCAAGATTTTTATCTCCAAATGAGACCACATCTGTGACTTGGATCTGTTTTAACTATATATACCTTCTTACCTCATGCCCTCCAACAACTCTTCCTATTTAACCTAAGGCCATCTTTCTTTGCCCTATCTCCAATTAACCAGCAAAAAAGCAAGACCGAAGATGTGGCTCAAGTGGTAGAATGTTATGAGAAAAAAAAAATCTTTGTTTGAGCCAGGAAGGGGTGAGGGAGTAAAATAGATAGAATATGCTCAAGAGGTAGATCTGCTCAGGCCTGTAATCCTAGCTACTTAGGAGGCTGAGATCTGAGGATCACAGTTCAAAGCCAGCCTGTGCAGGAAAATCTGTGGGACTTATCTCCAATAAACTATTCAGAAAACGGGAAGTGGCACTGTAGCTCAAGAGACAGAGCGCTCGCCTTGAGCTGAAGAGCTGAGGGACAGCACCCAGGCTGAGTTCAAGCCCCATAACTGACCAAAAAAAAAAAGGTAGATCTGCCTAGCAAGAGCAAGACTTAGGGCTTAGAAGGTGGCTTAGTGGTAGAGTGCTTGTCTTGCATGCATGAGGCCCTGGGTTCGATTCCTTAGCACCACATAAACAGAAAAAGCCGAAAGTGGCTGTGGCTCAAGTGGTAGAGCACTAGCCTTGAGCTGAAGAGCTGACAGACAGTGCCCAGGCTCAGAGTTCAGGCCCATGACCGACAAAAAAAAAAAAAAAAGAGCAAGTCTCTTTTAAAACATCAGGGAGGGAGAGAAGGAAGGAAGGAAAAATTAGAGGTAGGGAAAAAAAACCAAACTAGTGACTCTTGGTATCCCTTTACTCTGTAGCCTAGCTCTGCACTAGCACTTCAGTTCTTAATTCATGCTATTCTGTCACTGAACTCTCTTCTAACAAATCCCACAGGTTTTACTTTCCCAGGGTTTGGGGGAGAAAAGCTCCTCTCACCAGAAAAGACTAAGGGCCAGAAAGGACAAAGGATATACCGTAAACTCAATAGATAAAGCAGCACGAAAACTGCATGCTTGTACTAGAAACCCATGCAATTTTAGGACCAAAATGAGAAGTTGACCCTGACTGTAGTTAACTGACAGCCCTTAGTAGCATGCTAATTTGTCTTTCCCCTCTACCCACAGAGATCCATTTAACTGAGATCCAGTTTCTAAAGTTTGTAATTAGGGAGGAAGGGGAGTCACTCGGAGAGACTCAGGAGTCTGTAGGTCTGTCTGTCCCTACTCTGTGTCAAGAAGTGGATATGTAGTAGAATGCCAGACTTGAACAAAAAAGCCAAAGAACAGTACAGTACCCAGTCCCTGAGTTCAAGTCCCCTCACCCACACAAAAACAAAAACAAAAATACTCAAATACTTAAAAGTATCAAATACTATCCCTTGCCTTGACAGGCCTGTCTATCTAGAGATTCTAACTCTAGCACAGGATCTAGGCTGTGGTTTTAGGCAGAAAGGACTAAGGCACTGCTTCCTAAATAGGAATTAGTATAGCTTTTTCCTCATAACTGCATCTCAGATTCAGAAGAGGAATGATGTTGGGATACTAGGACTCAATATGTAAGGCCCACTACAAGGAAGGAAGGAATAAACGAACAAAGGAAGGAACAAAGAAAGGATTTTAGACAATCAGCACTTGACTAGAAGGACCATGAATCTTCCCACTAAAGCATATATAATAGGCAAACCAAAGATAAATATGAGGTTTTACTCAAAACAAGAAAAGAGGAAACATGAAAAAATGACTTGTTTGTGGCAGGGAATGCTTCCTCTGGAACCAGAATGGCAGTAAGTAGGCCAAGTTTCACAACACTACCACCAACTTCACCAGTACAGGAGTTCTACAGGAATAGTCAGCTCGAGCCACATTTTACAAGGAAAGTTAAAAAAAAAAAAAAATCCCTCTTCAGAGTCCACAGGGGTCCCAGGTCTAGCTATTGGCAAGTGGCAACTATTGGTCATGTGGCTCCAGTAGCGATGTCCGAAATTCTTCAAGGAAGGTTTCACAATCAGTGGGATGGATCCAGCTTAAGTAGGTTTCTAGGTACAGAGGCAGTGACCTGGAGAGTAAGAAGAGTGATGCCTAAGATTGAAAGGAGATTGGGAAGCCTCTTTTCCCTTACATTTCCTTATCATCCCAGTAGGCCTGTGGACTCCAGGCCTCCAACTGTCCCTCAGCCTGAAGCCAACAAGACTAATCCTCACCGAGTAGCTTCTTTCTGTGTCAGCTCAGTTTGGGCTTCCAGCCTTTGCCACAGGGCAGTGGCATCATCCTTCCGATCCAGCCTCCTCAGAGTTTGAAGCAAGTAATAGGAAGCATCTCTACTGCCTGTAGACAAACCAAAGTACAAAGACTCAGACTTTGATACAGGCTTCATCATCATTTTATAAAAGATTGGGGAAGTGTTTGTCCTATACTCATATAAAACCAGGGGTAGATCATGCACAACAATTCCTACCCCACCGTGTACTAGCTGCTCTGAACAAAGGGCTCAGCTGGCTATTCCATACAACCCACTCTAACTCAGTCTGTGTTTAAGAACCCTAGCAAGATAGAGAACTCTTGGGAGCATTATATACACCTGAATTTGTTGTAGATGAACACCTGATTATATCCTAGGTATGCACGTTAGATATCCACTTCTCTTGTCTGCGACCACCCTGCCCAAGAACATCTGCCTAATATATCTATATATAACTTATATATAACTTATATATATAACTTATATCAAGCAAGTATTCATACCTGGGAATATCTGCACACTGAGGAGGAAGTCCTTTAGAGCTTTGGTATCTTGGTTGCTGGCCACCCATACCAGTCCACGACTAATCAGAGCTGCTACCCGAAGTTGTTGCAGTGCCGCTTCTGAGCTACACCCCTGCTCATAGTTGAAACCTGCTCCTGGGGACCACCCCCAAAGTCAAAAATATCTTCCCAGTCACACAGTCACCAAACTCCCAATCCCCCCTCTACCTATTCTGTGTCGAGTTCTCTAGTGGACTGGGACACTCAGAAGGGAACCCACTTCTAGGAGATAAGAGAAACTGAATCTCTAAATCACCTTGTTCTTTGTCCTCAGGAGTAGTACAGAAGAGCAGCTCAAGACACCTGAAGTGGGACACAAAGCAGGAGAAAAGAAGAACCAACACAAAAATAAAGGTAAGTGAGTGAGAATGGAGTTTGCGAACCTTGGATCCAATACAAAAATCATCCTCACACCTCCCCAGGACTTTGGATAGCTTCCAGGGCTTACCGACTAAATTCACTAACTGCCTCTTTTGGGGCCTTCAGGTGTACCCAGGCCTGGCCCTGAAGCAGGTGGGTAGCAGAGACCCAGAGCTGGCAATATGGCAGTTCTTTGGATCCTTTTCTGGCTCCTTCCCGCAGCTGGGACATCTTGGGAAGTAAAGACGATGTACGGCTGAGAAGCTCTTCACATACAGTGAAAGCATCCTGGGCTCGGCCTGCCTGGATCAGTGCTGCTGCAGTCTCCAAGAACACCTCTGGCACACAGGGCCCTGGGGGGCAGGGGAGTAGGGAGAACTGGGGTGGGAAGAAGATAGTGTCTTGAAGAGGCATGATTCACCATACCCAACCTCTCCATTGGGATCTGGTACCACGCGAGAGTCTTGAGTCCCAAGAACAGACAGAGAAGTAAAACAGAACATAATAGTTCCCTGCTCCAAAGGGGACCCAGACTCCACCCCTCCCACTTCATTGCAGAGAATGCTGAAGACACACCTACCCTTGGCTCTGAGCCATCCAATAACAACGCCAACAGGTCCAAATAATGCTCTGCAGCATCTTCTTCCCTGGAGAATCATCGCTCACTTTAGGCCCTCTCAGGGCCTAAATATATTCAGTATATTCTCTTAGCTAATGGAAGGATACTCATGAGCCTTGAAGAGTAAAGGGGAGGGCAAGGTCTTGGGGCCTTGGCTCAATATGCATATCAGTTCTAGGATAAATTAAGGAGGAGATCTCAGCATTCTAAAGATAGAAGAAGCTATTATCTGTATGAAAAGCCCTCGGTTCCAGGCCTAGAAGACAGAAGACTAAGGAATGAAGACCTATGTCCTTCCCACTGTCTCATTTATCACCCAACTCATTAAAAACTAAAGCAGAGGGATGGTAGGGGGAAAAACAAAGGAGGAGGCAACAATGCTCAATAGGAAATGTCCTCATTACCTTGATCAAGTAATTGTAATCCCTCTGTACAGCATTTTTACAATTTAAAAAATGAACAAATAAAAAAACAACTAAAGCAAAGGACCGGTAGTTCATACCTATAATCTTAGCTCCTCAGGAGACTGAGATCTGGGGATAGCAGTTTAAGACCAACCTGGACATACATATCTGCAAGATTCTTACCTCCAACTAACCAGCAAAAAGCTGGAATTAGAGGTATGACTTAAGCAATTAAGAGCTCCACCAGTGAGTGGAAAAGTCAAATGAAAAAGCTGAATGAAAGTATTCAAACCCCAGTAAAACTAGTGTGTATGCGCGCACGCGCGCGCGCACACACACACACACACACACACACACACACACACAAGCAGAGTCACCTCAGCAAGGTATCAGAAGTGGGAAAAGTTGCTCAAGTGAGCAAGGGAGAACCTCACCTCCCAATCTGTAGGCATCTGCTTGCTAGCAGGTGCTTGGCCTGGCTTGGTGTGACACAGTGAAGGGGGGAGGCTTGGTCAGGTTGTGGAAGTAGCAATTCTGCTTCAATCAACAGCTGGGGGGATTTAGAACTACGAATGACACTCAAAGCCTAAAAGAAACAGAAAGAAGTGTATCTAATGCCTTTGAGAACCAAACTTGCTTATTCTTATATCAATCTAACACAAGCACTTCAGCCACCCTATATCTTTGTTTTACCTCAACTAGCAGTTCCAGGCTCTCCAGCTCAGCTGATGTGTCTCCTAGTTGCCGATATAATCGAGACGCCTCCAGAAGTGGAAGACTACAGTCTGTGCCTACTTTCAGGGCTTCAATTAAGTACAGCAGTGCTCTCTGTGGATTTTCCTAAATGGGTAGGATACAAACTTTATCCTCACAAAGCAGTCCATATGATCATGTTTTCCCTAACCCCCTTAAGGTTGCCTTTACCATCTTACGGAGACAGGTCCCCAGTGCTGTGTACACCTGGACCAAAACAGGTCGTGTACACAGACCTGAGGCTGCTTCATGCAGGTTTCTCAGTGCCCTTGGTAGATTTCCTGTGATCAGCTCCTGGAGGCCTGAGGGCAATCAGGGAATATGATGGGAAACAAAATCACAGGAAAACTCCATGGAGACAGAATAACATAATCCCAGAAGACCCCTTATGAAAGGGATGAGTCAGGTTGCTAGCTGACCTTGTTGGTAGGCAAATGCTGTCAAAAGTACAGCCCTCAAACTCTGGGCATTCTGCAGAGTCAATGGGCCATCTGATTTCTCAACTGGAGGATTCCAACTTTTAAAAAGTAGCAGCAGATCCTCAGAGGTCCTACCCTGGAGAAACAAGGGATAATCAGAGGCTCTAAGCCTGGTAGCTACCCCTGTTCTACTATCAATCTATCCTAACTGGACATATTGACCTCATAAGTTCTGATTTTTTGTTTATTTTTTGCCAGTCCTGTGGCTTGAACTCAGAGCTTAGGTCCTGTCCCTGAGCCTATTTATGCTCAAGGCTAACACTCTACCACTTAAGCCACAGCACCACTTCTGGCTTTTTCTGATTGGAGATAAGAGTCTCACAGACTTTTCTGCCCTGGCTGCTTCTAACTGCAATCCTCAGATCTCAGCCTCCTGAGCAGCTAGGATTATAGGCATGAACCACTGGTGCCCAGCTGATTTCTATTTCCCCAATTCTAAAAGAAAAATAGGGGTCAGAGGCATGGCTCAGTTGGTATAGCACCAGCCAATGAGTAAAAGTGACAGGTACCAAGTGTTGGATACCCCCCCCCAAAAAAAATAAATAAATAAAAATAGATATGGCACAAGGCTAAAGGGAAGCAGAAAAATCTGGAGCTGTGGCAACATATTCTAATGTGCCTTCTAATTCACGAGCAGCCCATAAAGACATATGGTAAGAACCATGCTTGAGTTATTGCTGAGAAGATGAAGGTTGGGAGGTGGCATCAGCAAAATCATGAGAACTCTCATTTTATCCAAGTTGAGTAAATGTCCCTAAGAAAATCTCCCCATTAGGGATTAACTAGAACAAGGTCACCCAAGAGTATCTGAGAAAAACGTAGGTTTTCTGGCCACCAACACAGTAGTCCTCCTAAAATATGATGTTCCTGCAGTTTGAGGAAAAGCAAAGAGGGCAGACACCTCATTTTCAGGTCACTTTCTCCCTTACCTGACTGCCATTCAGTGTCTGTAACAGTATGGCCAGGTCCCCGAGATGGTCAGTGCTCAGCCAAAGGGCTGCCTGTAGGCCAGCCAGGAGGTGTAAGGCAGAAAGCAGCTCTGGCAGAAGAGAGGAAGCATGCAGAACAGATTCCCACAGCTCCCTGAGACTCTGTTGCAACCTGGGCTCCAGATGCTCCTGGGTCTCCAGCACTATAAAGCACACAAACACATAGCAAATGTGTATTCATCTTCCTACTCACCAACTCTCTGGCTTTCCTCTTCTGTAAGAGGTTAAGAATTGCAATACTACCTCAGCCCGGTGTGAGGAGTACATGGGGGATTAAAGAAGGCCATCTCAGCTTGGAAGGTGGCTCAGTGGTAGACTGCCTGCCTTGCATGCATGAGGCCCTGGGTTCGATTCCTTAGCACCACATAAGCAAACAGAAAAAAGCCAGAAGTGGCGCTGTGGCTCAAGCGGTAGAGCGCTAGCCTTGAGCTGAAGAGCTGAGGGACAGCGCCCAGGCCCAGAGCTCAGGCCCCACTACCGGACCGGGGGAAAAAAAAAAAAAAAAGAAGGCCATCTCTCCCTGGAGGTGACAAATTTAGTTGTTCCATACCTTTGAAAGACTTAAATCGAGACAGAAGTTGGCAAGAACGTGAAGGGAATTTCTGGTCCTTACCTCTCTTGAGGCTCCGTTGGATATCCTGGGCTAGATCTTCAGTGAAACCCTGGGCCAAGCTCACCCTCAGGATAATGAAGTTACAGGTTACAGTCAGCTCCAAAGGGAGAACAGGAACAGTGGCAGGGAGCCCTGGAGCAACAGGTGCTGGTTTCATAGGCTCTCCCATGAAAAATGCCCCAAATAAGATGCTACCCCTGCTGGATGCCCACACCTATAATCCTAGCTACTCAAAAGGCTGATGATCTGTGGATCATGGTTCAAAGTCAGCCCAAGGAGGTACGTCCAGGAGACTTTTTTGTTGTTGGTGGTGGTGGGGCTTGAACTCTGGACCTGGGCATTGTCCCTCAGCTCTTCAGCTCAAGGCAAGAGCTCTACCACTTCAGCCACAGTATCACTTCTGGTTTTCTGGTAGTTTATTGGAGATAAGAGTCTCATGGATTTTCCTGCCCGGGCTGGCTTTGAACCACAATCCTCCGATCTCAGCCTCCTTAGCAGCTAGGATTACAGGCGTGAGCCACCAGTGCCTGGCTTCCAAGAGATTCTTTTTTTTTAGGGGGGGCGAGGGGGTCTGGTCGTGGGGCCTGAACTCTGGGCCTGGGCGCTGTCCCTCAGCTCTTCAGCTCAAGACTAGCGCTCTACCACTTGAGCCACAGTGCCACTTCCGGCTTTTTTTCTTTTTGCTTATGTGGTGCTGAGGAATTGAACCCAGGGCCTCATGCATGCAAGGCAAGTGCTCTACCACTGAGCCACCTTCTCAGTCCCCCAAGAGATTCTTATCTCCAATTAACCACCCAAAAGCTGGAAGTGGAGCTGTGGTTCAAGTGGTAGAGTGCTAGTCTTGAGCAAAAAATAGAGGAGGAGGGGCTGGGAAGGTGGCTCAGTGGGAGATTGCTGGGTTCAATTCCTCAGCACATAAACAGAAAAAGCTGGAAGTGTCACTGTGGCTCAAGTGGTAGAGTGCTAGCTGAAGAGCTGAGGACAGCATCCAGGCAAAGAGTTCAAGCCCCTCAACAGACAGAAAAAAAATGTGGAGGAGGAAGAAGAGAGGGAAAAAAAGAGGGGAAGAGGAAAAAGCAGCAACAGCAACAGCAGTAACTTAGGAACAGAGCCCAGGCCTTGAGTTCAAGCCCCAAGATCAGCACAAACAACAAGTTGTCTAGATTAGACCAGCCTGAAAACCACTTCTTCACATGTGCTGTGTAGAGAAAAAGGGAGGGAGAAAAGGAGGGAGAAAGAGAGAGAGAGAAAAATAAAAATGAATATTCCACTCCAGTCCCCTCTGTGTCTGGGCAGACACAATAATCATCTCAATCCCAGAAACACTTAAGAGGAACTGGTCTCCAGCCATAGTGGAAGGGAACTGACTAACCCAGGGAGGACCATGAGTACCTTGCAGACCCCAAAGGAGCTTCCTAAGACCTTCTAGTGTGTCTTGAGCCAGCTGCTGTCGCCTCAGAGACAGCTGGGTGTCCTGAACCACCTGCCAAAGAGGAAGGGATGTCAATGAGGATCATTTCTTGCAGCAGTAAGGAGGGATACATTCTTCAATCACTTATGATTCTCAGGGCGGAAGGTCAATATCTGCTCCTCCGGGTTGGCTAGGATATTGGTGCTACACAATGAAGGTCTCAGCAACCGTGCCACCTTGGCCTGTCGAACGAGCTGGTCATTCTTTTCCCTCCACAAATCCAGGAAGCTGGTATGCGACACTGAGGAGCCTGCATGGATCTGCTGGGACATGGTCACAGAGCTCAGGCCCAACACCTGTAGCAGTCTTCTGTTGGGTACGGTTGGCCTCAATGAAGCTCAGACCCTAAGGAGAGAGAGACTGGAACTTTGGCACCCCGCCTGTCTCCCCTGCCCGCTTTGGGGTCCCCCCATACCAAGACCCACCTTTTCTAAGAGACTCGCCCTCTCAACTCGCGACCCACCTCTAGTTGGCCAGTTTGCAAACGGCTGCCGTAGGTCCTCTTTAAGAGATGGTTCCGCGGGAAACGGGAAAGAAACGAATCTGGCACACCGGCAGGCCATAGGCTAGAGAAAAGTTTGGCGGGACCAGTCCCGTAAAGCCGTGTTAGCTAATCTTCTCCGGCTGGCCTCGTATCCTCTCAGTGGCTAGCCGGCCCGCGCGGTGCATAATGGGGGTTGTAGTTCCGCGAGGAACGTACAGTACTTCCCTGGCAGAAAGTGCATGACCAGAAGCCCAGCCCTCCCAATTTGTCTTATCCTTTCTTTGGACTTCTGTAAGCAGTACGCAAAACGAGGAGACAGAGGAAAGGGAAAAGGAAGAGGTGAGAGAAGACAGGAATGGAGATGGGAGAGGGGAGGAGGAGAGGAGAGGAAAGAAGGCAGAGGGGAGAGATTATAGAAGTCAACCTAAATGGATCATAAAATATAAGATCCGAAAATATATAAATCTTGTAGGAATTTTCTTGCCGGGCGCCGGTGGCTCACGCTTGTAATCCTAACTACTCAGGAAGCTGACATCTGAGGATTATGGTCAAAGCCAGCCCAGCCCGGGCAGTAAAGTCCGTGAGACTTACCTCCAATAAACCACAGAAAAATTGGAAGTGGTGCTGTGGCTCAAGTGGTAGAGCACTAGCCTTGAGCTGAAGAGCTAAGGGATAGCGCCCAGGCCCAGAGTTCAAGCCCCACAACCAGCAAAATAAAAGTTTTATATCGCATAAACTGTACAACGTGTGGGTAGGATAGGAGGGAAAAACTGGAAGAGAGCAAGAAAAAAGGTGACATTATCCAAAAAGAAATGTATTCTTGGTGGGCACTGGTGGTTCATGCCTATAATCCTAGATGCTAAGGAGGTTGAGATCTGAGAATTGCAGTGTAAAGCTCGCCTGGATAGGAAAGTCCATGAGACTCTTATCTCCAACTACTAAAAAACCAGAAGTGATGCTGTGGTTCAATGCGGTAGGGACAACGTCCAGAGCCTGAGTTCAAGCCCTACAACGGACAAAAAAAAAAAAAAAACAACTTTTTCCTGACTTATGTAACTTGAGCCCCTCTGTACATCACCTTTATAATAACAAACATTAAAATTTTTAATTGCTGAACATCATCAGCTATTAGAAAAATGTAAAATCTTTAAAACCATGAACAAGTCAACTGCCAGTGAGATGAGACCTGGATGACCAAGGTTTAAAGTCAGTTCAGATGAAACTTCACCTCCAGTAGAATCATCAAAATGCTGGATTGGTGATACGGGTCAAATGGTAGAGTGCCAGGACAAGAAACCTGAGCAAGAGCATGAGGCCCTGAGTTCAAGCCCCAGTACTAGAGGCTGGAAAATGTTAATCATAAATTTACCCTATTGTAATTAGAGTTTTAGACAACAGACCCATCTCAAGGGCTTCCAAAATGTCAGGTTCAGCCACTCAGCCCAATGCCAAAAGACAAATAGTGGTAAAAGACAGGAAAAGGATTTTTATTACACAGGTATACCTAAGCATTGCAGCCCATTTTCTGAAATCAGACATTAGCTTTAGTTTTAGTTTTAAATAAAGGAAGAATTGGAGCAGAAGAGAGATTTGCATAATTAAGCAGTTATAGGCAAAATGTGGCCTAGTTGATTATTATATCTCACTTCTGGTTCTGTGAGAGATTTCAGAGTATAGAGTCATCACTTGAGGGGAACAATCTGATTCCCATGAGATGATTACTCTGCTCTAGGGTACAGCCTCATCATGATAGGCAGTTATCCTCGTTTGGGTGGTGGCCTGTCCTTCAGGACTCTGATGTTCCTTTCCTTGGAAGTTCCAGTCCCTTGTGGTAGTTATGTTAAAGTTCCATTTTGTCCTTTCTGGAAGCCAAGGTGATTGCAGGAAAGACTCAGAATAAAGGGGATAGATGTAAAATGAAGGCAGAAATATCAAGCCTTCCTCCTGATTAGGCAATTCATGGGCCTAAATGAAAAGTGGCTGACTTTTAGCAAAAGCTGTTTTTAAGTACCTGTTATGGCACAGCCACTTCAAGGAATCCTCCCAGGAGAAATGGAAACATATGTTCCCACTGAGAATTATATATGCAAATATTCATAGTAAATATAAATATTCCTAACAGTTAAAAATGTTCCCAATATTATGTCGAAAAATGAACTTTACAACTTTGGTGTGGGGGGAGGGGAGAGTAGCGGGGAGGATTGGGTGGGGGACAGGGGGAGGATGGGAAAGGATGGGAAGGGGAAACAAAAGAGGAGGCTACAATGCTTGATAAGAAATGTACTCATTATCTTGCCCATGTAATTGTAACCCCTTTGTATAGTATTTTCACAATAAAAAAATAAAAATTAAAAAAAAATGTTCCCAATAAGCTGGATGTGGTAGCTGAAGCCAGGTAGTTGGGCAGAGATACAGAGATAGGGAATTGTGTGGGTAGAAGGAATTTCAGTTTGAAGCTAATCTGGGCATAAAATTCATGAGACTACATCTCAAGCAATGGCTGAGTATACTAGCACTGTGCCTGTTACCAAGGGAAACATGAAGGCTGAGGGCAATGGCATGTGCCTGTCATCCTCAGTGACATGGAAACAAAAGTAGAAGCATTGCAGTACAGGCATAAATTAATACTGCTCAGCTCAGGTATAAAGTGAGATCCTAACTCAAAAAAATGCCAATAAAGCTCAGTGGTAGTGGCTCATGACTATGAGCTACTCAGGAGGCTTGAGATCTGAGAATCAATTAAAAGCCAAATCTGGGCAGGAAAGTCCATGTGACTCTTGATCTCCAATAAACTTCTAAAAAGTTGAAGTGGAACTGTGGCTCAAAGTGGTAGAGTGCTCGCTAGTCTTGAGCAAAAAAAGCTCACAGACAGCACCCAGGCCAAGTTCAGTCCTCAAGACGAAAACACACACTCTCTCTCTGTCCTCTCGCTCTGTCCCCTCTCCTCTCTCTCTCTCTCTCTCTCTCACACACACACACACACACACACACGCACACACACACATGCCAATATAAAGTAGGGACTGAAGGTGGAGCTCAAGTGGTAGAGTACCTGCCTAGCAAGTATGTAGTCCCTGAGTTCAATCCCCAGTAACAGCAAAAAAAGATTTTCACAAAGAGCTGGAGATATAGCCCAGTGGAAGAGTGCTTTCCTAGCATAAGCAAAGACCTGGTCTCAATTACAAATAAGTTTTGTTTTTTAATTAAAATGTTCACAGTAGCCCAAAAAAGTACTTTCAAAACAGGAAACAACATAAGATTTATCAACTGGTCATAGCCAATGATTCAGCATTGAAAAGTTCACAACAGTAATGTATGCACAAAAGATAAACCTCAAAACAAAGTCAGACCAAAAGACCACATATTGCATAACTCCCATGTCCATGAAATATCCTGAAAGGCAAATTGATAAGGACTAAAAACAGATCAGTGGCCAAGAGAGGGACAGGAGGTTAGCTGTAAACAAAGTACAACTAATTGGAGATGATAAAAATGTTCTCTAACTAAGTCATGGTTTATTATATGACACTTAAAAGTCCAACCAACTGGGCTGGGAAGGTGGCTCAGTGGTAGAGGCCCTGGGTTCAATTCCTCAGCCCCACATAAGCAGAAAAAACTGGAAGCGGTGCTCTGGTTCCAGTGGCAGAGCATTAGCCTTGAGCTGAAGAGTTGAGGGATAGTGCCCAGACCCAGAGTTCAGGCCCCACGACCGACAAAACAAAAAATCCAACCAACCAAAGGAAAACTAAGGTGAATTGGATTTTACCAAAAAACTTAAATGTGTAAAATTAAAAAACTGTGATGCTGTGAAATTTGGTCTTCATCACCATTTCTGGCTTCTAATTCCCTCCCTAAGATGAGTCACAGAAATATTCTAGTTTTCCCCTACCTTTAGCTGAACACCAAGAAATCCTCTTACTCAACTTATCTGATGGAAGTTTATAAAACCCTCCTTATGCCGGGTGCTGGTGGCTCACGCCTGTAATCCTAGCTACTCAGGAGGCTGAGATCTGAGAATCGCGGTTCAAAGCCAGCCCGGGCAGGAGAGACCGTGAGACTCCTATCTCCACTAAACCACCAGAAAACCGGAAGTGGCGCTGTAGCTCAAGTGGTAGAGTGCTCGCCTTGAGCTGAAGAGCTGAGGGACAGCGCCCAGGCCCAGAGTTCAAGCCCCACAACCGACCAAAAAAAAAAAAAAAGACCCTCCTTATTTCACAGGGGTGTTTTTCCATATCTGGGTGGGAGGAAGGAATGCTGTATAGTCAAAAAAAATTGAACAAAGCCCAGGCAGTGTGATACATGCTTATATTCATGGCTAGGCTGGACTACATCGTGTTACAGACCTCAGATATCAAGATTCAGTAGAATGAAAGACTATGACTAGAAGGACCCTGCTGGGTTCCCCTGTATTCCTCCCTGTCCCCCATGAGACTATTGGCAATGAATCTCCATAAACCCTCAAAAGGGCAGAGTTTGGAGTTTCCCAGTTCCTGAAAACGTAGAGGTTTCCTATGTGCTTGGAGAAGACACTGAAGCTGTATCCTTCTTTCATATCTCCTTCGATGCATCTCCTCACCCTTAATGATAAACCACTAAACTTAAGTAAATGCTTCCTGGAGGTCTGTGAACTTTTCAAACAAACTTGCCCAAGAAGACAATTGTGGGGAAAACCACTTTATAGCCTGTCAGTCAAAAGCACAAGTACAACAACTTGAGACTTAAGTGGAGAGGGCAGTATTAAGAACTATTCCTGTATGTGGTGTCAGCACTGAACTGAAGTTGAGCATAGAGGTACAAACCTGTAGACCCAGAATTAGGAAGGCAGAGACTGGATCAAAGTTTTAGGTCAGCAGGAGCAGAGTTAGTGAGACTCCATTTCAACAAAACAAACCAGGCATGGTGATGTGTGCCTAGAATTCCAGCTAATCAGGAAGCAAAGGTAAGGAAGACCTAGGTTCAAAACTGGATCAAGGCAAAAAGACCCTGTATGAAAAATAACTAAAGCAAAAATGGGCTAGGTACATGGCACACAAGTGGTAGAATGACTGCTTAGCAAGCATGGAGCTCTTGAGTTAAAACTCCAATACCCCCTCCAAAAAAATAACTGAATGGAAATAGAGAATACTCAGCTGATATCAACTGCATAACTAATTGTTTGTTGTTGAGAAGAAACATCCCCTTTTAAGGTGATAGGAGTCTTCTGTGTTGATAGTGGTGTGAAAGCAGTGGAAAACAGTTTTCTGGCTTGTTTTTACTGAATCTCACTACAACTCACAAGATAGAGAAAATATTTGCAAGTCTTATCTATGACTTACACCTAGAATATAGAAAGAATGTCATGCACAATGGAAACCATTTTTTGTACAATTAATATATGCCATTAAAAGAATGTTTACAGGGGCTGGGAAGGTGGCTCTGAGGTAGAGTGCTTGCCTTGCATGCCTGAGGCCCTGGGTTTGATTCCTCAGCACCACATAAGCAGAAAAATGTGGAAGTGGTGCTGTGGCTCAAGTGGTAGAGTGCTACCCTTGAGCTGAAAAGCTTAGAGACAGTGCCCAAAATCCAGAGTTCAGGCCCCACAACCAACAACAACAACAAAAGAATGCTTATAAAACACAACCCAATTAGAAAATAGGTAGGGGAATGAACAGTGGCACACAGTTGTAATTCCAGCACTCAAGAAGCTGATGTAGAAGGATAGTGAGTTTGAGGCCAGCCTGGGCTATATAGGAAGGCCTTATCTTAAAACGAAGCCAGTCAAGGCAGAATAGTCAAAGAAACCCTTACCTCCAATCAGCCAGCAAAAAGCTGGAAGTAGAGGTGGAACTGAAGTTGCAGAACACCAACCTTGAGTAAAATATCTAAGTGTAAGCATGATGCCTGAATTCAAGCCTAGTACTAGCACAGACATTAAAAAAGAAAAAAAACACATTATACATGAATGTTCATAACAGTATTGCTCATAACCAAAAGATGAAAACCGCAATGTCAATCAATAGGTAGAAGAATAAAATACAGAACAATGCAATTGAGTACTATGTGGCCATAAAGGGAATGAAGCTAATACATACTGCAACATGATTTGTTTTATCAATTGTGGGACTTGACCTGAGAACCTGGGCACCGTCCCAGAGCTTTTTTGCTCAAAGCTGGCATTCTACTACTTTGAGCCACAGCACCACTTCTCGTTTTTCTGGTGGTTAACTGGAGTCTCAGGGACTTTCCCGACAGGCTGGCTCTGAACGACAATCCTCATCTCTCAGCCTCCTGAGAAGCTAGGATTACAGGCTGAGCTACCAGCGCCCACCTGCAACATGATTTTTGAAATGCTTAGTGAAAGAGGCCAGACAGAAAAGAATACATATTGCATGATTTTTTTGTGTGTGTGGCACTGGAGATTGAACACAGGGACTTGAGTTATATCCCCAATTCTTAGTGATCTCATCTATATGAAATACTCAGAAAAACAAGTAAAGAGACAGAAAGCATACTGGTGGCAGCAGGGGTTGGAGGAGGAGAAAGTGAATGTTTTGGGGCACAGGGATTTTTTTGGAGATGAAAATGTCATAGAATTGACCACTGTGATGGCTGCACAAGATTATGAATGTACTTTGGAATGGCAATTTTTTCAGGAGCAGCAGTACATGCCTGTAATCCCAACACTTGAGGTTATTCCAATCTGTGCCTGGTAGGAGAGGACACTGACCTTCCTTTCAGGAACACTGGAAATTCTCCTACATCTCAGACACACATATTTACATTATTATTTTATTCCACTTTGGAAACCACCCGTGTAGTTTATCAGATGTATCCAAATCAGAACTTAGGGAAGAGGCTCCACTATGCTTCCGAATTATAAAATAATTAAGTCCCAAAGCCAGCAACCCCTGGCTGCCTGATGGTAAGAGGCGTGGCTGAGGCTCCCTTGTGGATCATCTAGCACCTGTGTGGGCAAAGCTAGATTATTTTTCCATTCTTTCCACAGCCAGGTGCCAGTGTCCACAACCTGGGCTACCTCTGCTGAGCCAAAACTAGTTTTCTGAACCAGGAGCTCACAGCACCATCTACTCGCATCACCAAAGCTATGCCCAGTAAGAGTCCCACGCTGCTCACAATGAAGCCTATGGCTTCAAAAATGAACCTGCAAAGAAAGGTAGAGTACTTCAGAGGCTGATTGTAGGTCTTGGGTCTTCCTCACACAGAGGCTTTGTTTAATGTCTCTCCCTCTCCACCACCTGTCCTTCTCAAGCAAATCTACTCACTTGGGGGCAAACACCTTCCAGACCATAAGATGCCTGCGGAGGATGAAGGCTGCTAAGGCACAGGCCAGAATCTAAGGGAAGAGAAGAAGGCAAAATTAGTTTGGAAGTAGGGGAAGGGGCAAGAAAGTAGGAAAAAGGGAGAGTTGCTATATGAAAAATATGAAACAATGTAAAAATGCGAAAAGCTCAGTACTTTTATGATCTGCATTCTTCACTCACCTGAATACCAAGAACAAACAGGTACTTGAGGCCCAGCTGCAGCAGCGCTGCATGGAATTGGTGTGGTGCTTCCCGGAGACGCATCTCCATCAGTGGCTCCTCTTCCTCCTCTTCAGACCTGATTCTGGCTTCAACTTCATGCCCTGGAGACTGCCGCCTCTTCTTTGGCCCTTGACTCTCACACAGGAAGGGCCAGAGCAAGAGCAGGGGGCAACCTACTGTCTCAGGGGAAGGCAGGGATGGTATCAATAGAGGACAGGACAGTATCAATGGGACCAGTCCATCTTAGTCCCTAGCAACTCCAATTGGCTCAGGCTTTAATTAGCCTCAGCCAAGGATCCAACAAAACTACGCATATCCAGGACTTTTCTCTTTCTACAAAAGCCAGAATAAAACAATGGAAGCTGGGGGGCTGGGAAGGTGGCTCAGTGGTAGAGCACTTGCCTTGCATGCATGAGGCCCTGGGTTCGATTCCTCAGCACCACATAAGCAAAAACAAAAAAGCCGGAAGTGACACTGTGGCTCAAGTGGTAGAGCGCTAGCCTTGAGCTGAAGAGCTGAGGAACAGCGCCCAAGCCCCAGAGTTCAGGCCCCATGACCGGACCCAAAAAATAAAATATAATAAAATAATAAAATAAAATGTATTTCATTACTTTAAAAAAAAAAAAAAGCAATGGAAGCTGGGAAGGGAAAGCAAGGAGGTACCTGCAAAGAGGAGGTGGGAGGCAAAGGTGTTAGCTCCCACTAGCAAAGCAGGCAGCCAAGTAGAGGATCCATGACCTTCTGGGAATCCTACAAAGGCTGCATGCCACTGAATGGCTGGAAAGACAGGTTGGTGGCCTGTGGAGTAGAAGGTCTGTGTAGCCATGAGAGTCCAAGCGGAAACTGCCTGCCATGGCACAGTGAAAGGACCTAGAGGAAAAGATAAGTCTTTAAAATCTCATTTGTTAATGCAAGCCTTCCTGCTCCAGAATCATAGGTTCCTCATATACATACATGCCCATCATCTTACTTCCTTGTCAGGACTCTGTAATTCTAGTTCTCTTGTTGTACAAAGCCCTGTCATTCTAATCTGAAACCCACCCCCTCATGTTTAACCTTTCTTTAACACACACAGTTCTTTATGCTGTATTTTCATAAATAGCCACTTATATTACTGGAAAATCAGAAAATGTACTGAAGGGATGTAACATTTCCACAAGAAATGAGTCTAAAGGACTCCTTGTCTTCCCCCTCCATAACTGATAGTTTGAGGGAGGGATTAGATTGGTGATGGCAGATATAAGAGAGGACATCAAGTAGACCTTTTCTAATTGTGAGGGGCATGAGACCAAGGTAAGAACACATGAAGCAACACTTCCCTGAAAAAAGGAAGCTGGACTCCACTGTCCTCAGGTCAATGAGGACTAAGATATGTATTTACCAGGAGTGGTGATGGGAATCCCAGCAGCAAGTAGATGCAGGAGAAGGAAGCTCTGCAGAAACAGAAGCAGGAACACAAGGCTGATGCGTTCTGCATGCAATAGCAGAAGTGGGAAGGTCAACAGGGTGAGGGCTGTGACCATAGCAGCTGAGTAGACACTCCCCAACTGATAAGCAGCCACAGTCAAGGGAACCTGAGATTTGGTCTTTTCTAGCCGGCCCCGGAACTCCTCCTGCATGTATCGGTAGATTTGAGGGACCACGTAATCCAGGTCAGCCTGAGAAGTAGGGGGTCCTGAGAAGGGAGTGAGGACAGTCCTGGTCCTTGAAGCACCGACCCCAGCCTTCACCAGCACTGCCACAGGCCTCCAGAGCAGCAGCATGAGCCCTGAAGCAGCCAGCCCCACCACAGCCCGCGGCAGCACAACTGATGCCCCAGAAACCAGGGCCCGGAGACGTGGTGGTGCTTCATCTGCTCCCGATGCCAATGCCCAATAGGCAGCGGTACCTAGAGCCATGAGAGGAAGCCCCCAGCGCACAAAGAGCACAGAAGGCTCAGGGCTCTTGAGGTTACCATAATGGCGAAGCCACAGACGCACAGCAACTAACAGGGCCACCAGTGACCCCACACAAGCTCCATACCACAAATTCTTGTCTCGACCACCCACTATGGATGCCAGAGGACTCAACCAGGGAGAGGAGTGGCAGGCAGGAGTCTCTTCAGGGCAGCGATGGAAAAGCCCAGCTAGCCTTGTACATAAAAGCAACCCAACTCCAAGCCACAGGGCATAGGTGCCAGTGTGCCGTGGGGGCACTGTTGGAGCAGAGGAGCTAAGGCGGGACATTGTGAGCAGCTTAGGTGGTAGCAGTTGGCCTTCCCAGTGAAGCTGGGCAACTAGGAATAAGATGAGGGAGCCCAGAAGGAAGGGGGTAGCCCTGGCTTCAGCTACAACAAAACTATCAGAGAAAAAGGCAGCCAAGCGAATAAGCAGGAATAACAGGACAGGCCCAGGAATGGGAAGTAGAGTTGTTACAGGCCTCTTAGACCCCCAGCCAGTCCAGGTTTTCCACAGAAAATAAAGGAGTGAGCCTGTTGCAGCCATAGCCCCTAGAAGCACTGGATCTAGCTTCATCCTAGTAACTGTCAAGAGTCCGACATACAGTATGGCCCCAGCAAGGCTCCAGGCTAAAGGTATCAGCAGTAGGGAACGGAAGGGAAATCCTGGGGATGTTGCCCACTGGGATGCGAACAGGCAGAGAAAGCAGGCAGCAGCCAAGATAGCAGCACCTCCTGCCATGCGGACCAGAGAGAAACGGGCCCAAGACTCAATGCACATGGCTCGAGCTCCTCGCAGGAACTGCTGCAGCTCTGCAATCAGAGTCTGTAGTGCTGTCTCAGCCCCTTGGGGACTCTGTAGAAGTCGATTGTAGTCAGTAGAAGCCTTGATAAAGAGATTCTGCAGCTCATTAAGCTCCTTAACTTGGAGGTCCTGAGCAGCAGCTGAGTAGGCGCTCAGAAATCGGGACACCTAGCAGAAAAGATCACAGAGATCAGGAGACACAGGTCAGAGATATAAATCAGGGCAAAGGTAAACATAGGTATTACAAAAGACATTACACATTCTGTCCAGAATGGAGAAAGGGAGGGATAATAGAAAGGGAACCTGGCTATGGAAGGGAGATGACAACTGGACAAAAGACATTGAGTGCTTATTATGCTTTGATCACACTGAAGCCTCATCCTCTCACTTACCTGTTGGGCATTGAGATAGAGAGCTGAGGCCTGGGCTAGAGCAGAAGCATAAGGCTGTGAGTCCTTGCCACCTGAGAAGAGTTCAGTCATCACCTCTCCAATGTTCCCAAATGGAATGGGTATGCCTAGAAGCAGGGCCAGTGTAGGCACAAGGCTGATTTGAGGAATCACCACTGGCTCCTAGAGGGATACAATAGAGTTCATCTCAAAGCTGAAGTCAGTATTTGGGAGGGAAAACATAGGGGCCTAGGTAGAAATGGGAATGAGTAATACCCAGATTATGATTGTGACAGCCTACAATATAGGGATCCATGAGTATGCTGTAAACCCTATGTGAGCTAACTACAAGGAGGCCAGAAGAGGCACAATCCAGTCCTTACCTCTGGTGGGGTGCTGGAAAAGAGGGCCATGGGGCTGTATAGAAAGAGTGCAGCTGAGACCTCGAGATCACTGTCCCCTCCATGGTCTCCATTCATGGTCATCCCATGGTCCCCAGCCACCACCAGCAGTGTGTCATTCTCCAGACGCTCCACAAGTCCCCTGAGAGCCAAGAAATGTGGTAGGGTCGGCATAAAGATTCTTCTCAAGGCAGGCAGTGGTGTCTCACTCCTGCTGTAATCCTATCTACTCAGAAGGCTGAGATCTGAGGAATGTGGTTCGAAGCCAGTCAGACTGGAATTCTTTTTTTTGTCACTCCTGGGGCTTGAACTCAGCACCTGAGCACTGTCCTTGAGCTTCTTTTGCTCAAGACTAGCACTCTACCACTTGAGCCACAAGTCCAATCTGGCTTATTCTGTTTATGTGGTACTGAGAAATAGAACCCAGGGCTTCATGCATGTTAGGCAAGCACTCTACCACTAAGCCACATTCCCAGCCTAGACTGGAATTCTTATCTCCAGTTAACCACAAAAAGCTGGAAGTAGAGATGTGGCTTAAGTGGTAGAGCTCCAGCTGTGAACAAAAGAAAAAAAAAAGAGCTCAGGAACAGCACCCAGGCCTTGAGTTCAAACCACAGAACCACAAAAATAAAAAAATAAATAAAATAGAAAAGATTCTTCTCAGAGGCCTATTCATCCCCAGCTATGACTTCCACTAATAGGGCCTAGACTGCTGGCGAAAAGATAGCTTTTCAGTCATAACCCTGCCTCCCAAAGCTACACACTGTGTTATTCAACATGGATAATACCCTTAACTTTAGAAAAAGGTCTGGAGAAGATGAAATTCAGCTAGGAGAGCCTCAAAATAAAGACTTTTCCTCTTGGTACCAAATATCCTAAGATTCTCAAACACAAATCCATTCCCCAACCAATACCCCACACTCACTGGATCACCTGGTCCATCTGGCTAAGTTTCTTGGCCATTTCAGGGTGGTGAGGACCATGCTTGTGGCCACAATGATCCACACCCAGGAAGTGAGCAATCAGCACGTCCCATTCACCACTGTCCACTGTGAAGGGGAGAACACGGAGCACAGGGGACTAAGGTCCACTCTTCAATCCCAGCCAACCTTTTGACATCCCTCCACCACTAAAGACAAAACCCCATGCTGTTGTATCCACAAAAGACCCAGGATTTTTAGACAAAAGCAGCTCTTCTCAGTCCCAGCCTTACTCAGCATCTAAGTGCCTTTAGCCCCATGCTCACTGGTGGGATAAAGGTGCTCTAGGATGCCATTGTCCACTGTGTGTAGGTCTCTAACATTGAAGGATGAAAAGAAGAAAGCTTGGGAAAAAGCTCCAGGGAAAAGGTCTTTCCAGGTATCATCTCCCATGAAAACTATACGCTTTCCTGCAGAGACAAGACAGGGGGTCAGAGTCTGAACAGAAGTCAGGTCAGAGGAGGAAACACTTCATTAAAGACTCATCAGAAATTCCAACCACACACTCTAAAGCACTGCAACTCCTTTTCCACTGGAACCTAAAATTTCCCATCAGAGCTTTCTCTGGTGAACCACATTATACCCAGATGTCTCATTTCAATTCCTATAAAATGACTTGCTAGTTCTCTCTAGGTAGCTCTGTTGACCTGTTATTTCCAAGTTAGTAGGTAAACAAGCAGGGCCTCTAGTCTCTTCATTTATAAGCCTAGACCCTTCATTTCTCCCCTGCCTCTTTACTAACTTCCTCAAGAGTAAAGCCAACATTCTGTGCAAATCAGAAATGTTGCCAAGGTTAAAGCTCTTTGTCCTTCAAACTGAGGACCTTATACCCAAGGCCTTGCATTGGTCTCTTTCTCCTACTCAGTCCTCCTATACCATAGCCAACCATACAGCCAGGCATCCAAAGTTCTAGCACCCTGACTTCTAAAGAAACATAAATACTCAGGTATACCCGAGACCCATACTGACCTGCACTTGTGAGCTGCTTAATGAGATTGTCTTCTACTATGGCGTGACTGGCAAAGTTACTGCCAGCATCAATAAAAGTAGGCAGTGAGCCAGTGGTGAGGGCTTTGAGGCGCTGCATGGTGGTAGTGGGGGGGTCAACTAGAGATTGGTACAGCCGGGCATGGTGGGGCTGAATCTCCAGGATCTTCTGCAAGGAGCCCAATTTTCCCAGAAAGGGCAAGGAGACAGGAGATTTCCCAGGCACATGTGAGCGCTGGGGTTGGGCAAAGTCAAATCGTAGTGCATCTATCAGCACCAACACAACCCTGGAGAAATGGGAAGCCATCCAGCAGGCCCCAGGCTTCCCTTGGCTCCCCCAAGGCAGGGACCCAGGGCCTGGGGGTTCATGACAGCTGCTTTGGTTGGTGAGCTCCAAACGTGTGAGAAGGAAGCCACTGGTGAAGAGAGCAATGCCAGCGTAGAAAAGGAAAGAGACCCAGGCCAGGAAGGCCAGCACAGAGACCTTCCGCATCCTGGTAGAGACAGGGGAGGGAATATCATGGTGAAGTAAAGCATATGCTGGTCCTTGACCACCCAACCAGCATCACTTCCTCTTAGCTAATCCAATAGTCCTCTCACCGAGGTACAGGTCTGTAGGTAGTAACCTTTAGCCTGTTAAAAATGTTTGCAGTACTCTTCCTACGTCTACTGAATTAGGATGTTGGGGTGGGGCATCAAATTTTCCAACCAGGGGATTTTGATGCTGAAAAACCATAGCCCACGAGGAAAACTTGATTCCAAGTGATAAGACTGCTTTCTAACAGGTTGTCTCAGACCTTATCCCCAACAGGCAAATCTCAACACTCCAGGGGGGTGGCCAGGGCTCTCAGCCGCCAGGGAATCTGGATCCAGTAAACGGCGCCGCCTGGCGGGGACCAAGAGGACAAGGAGGAGGAGTCACGCTCCGCTTCCGGGCCTTCCGGGTAACCAGAAAGCACGACCTTCCCGCCGGGCATCGCGACCGGAGCGCGTGTCCAAAGCCAGGGCGACTCGCCGAGAGCCAGTCGTCCAGGCGGATCTGCCTCTTACCGTGGCTACCCAGTCTGCGCCTCGGCACTACGGCCCCGGAAATGAGGCACCGCTGGCAGTGAGCTGGGGCAGGGCCGATCACCCACACTTCAGATTGGGGGCAGTCGGAAGTTCTCAAGAGACCTGGCTTACCTGGATCCGTGCCCGGAAGTGCAGCGGCGGCGCCTGGGGCCCGGCACCATAGAGGTGCGCGCGCCAGAGAGAGCGCGCCCTACTGAGAGCCCGGTCGCCACCTACCGGTGCCTGGGTGGAAAGTCCACCAATGAAATTTGATGGGAAATTTTTTAAATTTAGAATTGTGGACCAGGACCTGAAGTAGAAGAGATGGAGGTTGAAGCTGAGGGGTGTATCTCAGTGGTGGAGCGCTTGCCTAACTTGCTCAAGGCTCTGAGATCCATCCCTAGCACCGGAAAAAAAAAACAAAAAACACCAAGAGTTGAGAAAACTGTCCATTCTTGGTAATGACTATTTACAGGGCTTGAAGCCTAGCTCTTCCCCACCCCCCAACCCCCGACACACACACACACACTCACTGTGATTATTGGATACTATAATCTGTAAAACATAACTAATTCTTTTTTTTTTTGGGGGGGGGGGTTCAAGGCTAGCGCTCTACCACTTGAGCCACAGCGCCACTTCCGGCTTTTCTTTTTGCTTATGTGGTGCTGAGGAATCAAACCCAGGGCCTCATGCATGCAAGGCACGCGCTCTACCACTGAGCTACCTTCCCAGCCCACGTAATTCTTATTTCACCTTTTTGCTTAGCTGATGCCAACTGATAGACTTCATCATTCTTACCCTCAAAGCTTCTAAGTTGAATCTTTTATTAAAATAATAAAATCCCAAATATTATGTTTAATTATGAGCAAAGGATCTGACCAGACAGTTCTCATAAATAAGCTATAAAATGGCCAATAAATATGGAGATTCTCAACATGATTGGCCACTAGGAAGTTCAAGCCCCAGTACAAAAAAAAAAAGGAAATGGGCTGAAGTAGCTCAGTGAAACAGCAGTGACTGAGCATGTACAAGTCATGGGTTCAAGTCTATGGGTTCCATCCCCAGCATCCAAAATTTTTTAAATTGAATTTTAAAAAGTATTAGCAAGAACATAGAAACTGGAACCTTCATACACTGCTGTTGCAGCAGCTTCAGAAAAGACAGTTCCTCAAACGGTAAAACAATTATCATGTGTTTCACTCCTGCTATGTACCACCAGGCCCAGCTCTCAGTTGTTTTAGTAACCTGTGTCTAACCCTGACCTTGACACATGGTAGACATCATTAAATAGTCCCAAATTGAAGGAATGAAAAATGCTCTTAGAAGCTGTTTAGCAGTACAGCATATTCCTAGCAAACTCATGGCCTAGAGTTTAAAACCCAATAACCTAAAATAAAATAGAAACATCACTCAGTATTACCAGCCTGCACAAGTTTTTTTCCATATAAAATCCCCAAATACCTGCTTCAAATATACAGCTCCATACTTAGGAGGGAGGCCACACTCCCCAGCTGGCAGTTCAGTAGACATGTTTATTCCTCTCAGTCATATTTTTCTGTTTTAATGCTGGTATTGGGACTACTCAGCTCAGGGGTATGGTTCCTTAGCTTTTTTGCTCAAAGCTGACACTACCTCAGCTCCACTTTCAGGTTTTTGTGGTTAACTGGAAATGTCACAACTTTCTTTCCTGGGCTGGCTTTGAGCCAGATTCTCAGATCTCAGCCTCCTTAGCTAAGATTACAAGCATAAGGCTCCTGGCTCAAGAGTACATGGCCCACAGTTTCTCTTACAGACAAAAAGGATGGTTTCACTATGTTTGAAATTCATTCTTGCTCATGGAAGCACCAGCTTAGACGTTAACAGGACTGGACGGTGGGAGTAAACATCCAAGGAAAATTCAGGTAACTTTCCCAATTTCATTCCCCAATCAAAGAAGACAGTTTCTGGTTTGCCACTGGGGAGTTTATTACATGATTAGTAAGTTCAAATAAAAAAATAAAAACCAAAATCTTGGCAGGGAGGCTAAGGCCAGAATCTGGGAGTACTTTTCCCAGTATCCGGACTCCCTGGCCAAGCCATCTCCATTAACTCAGCTTGACTCGGTCCAATTCCTCAAGACTTGCATCTGTGCTCTGGACATTGCTACTCCCGCTGGAGACTGAATTTTGGGCCCCTGGCACTGGGGCTTTGGTGAGGGCTCCATACACACCCATGGCCTGAGGAGAGGGACAGAGAGGCATGAGGACACCTGACAGAAGGCATAGCTCTTCCAATGACTAAAAGGAAAAAAGCTGTAGCTAGGACTACTGAACTTGTTTTCTCTTTTTTCTCTCTCTCTCTTCTCTCTTTTTCTATCTTTCTGACACAAGGAACTGAATTTAAGGACACTTAAGCCATGATTCCCAGTCCTTTTGTTTTTTGTTTCAGATTAAGAGTCTCACTTTTGATTAGGCTGGCATCTGGAATAGCTGGGACATGGTGTACTACCATGTCCACTTTGTTTCTGAAATAGTGTCACTAACTTTTGCTTAGTTTGGTCATGACCTTTCCCTAACTTTGCTACTTGCATGAAAGGGATTACAAACGTGCACCATCATACTTTGGCATGTGTATGTGTGTGCATGGCTTGACCTCAGGGCCAGAGTACTATCCCTTAGCTTTCTCCCCTCAAGAATGGAGCTCTACTATTTGAGCTACAGCTTCACTTCTGCCTTTTTGGTGGTAAAAAAAAAAAAAAAAAAACTCACAGACTTTCCTGCCCAGGCTGCCTTGGAACTATGATCCTCAGATCTTAACCTCTTGAAATAAGGATTATAGAGTCATCAGTGCCTAGCCTTTTAGGAATCTTATGAACCATCAGAATAGGGTTACTTAAAACACTGGCAATTATCTGGAGAAAGGAAGTTAGTTCAAGAGTGTTCTTTTGCTGGGGACATGGCTCAAGTGGTAGAGTGCTTATCTAGCTTGCACAAGACCCTAGGTACAATCCCCATTATGCCCCTCGCCCACAAAAGTTTTATCTGCAGGGATAAATGAAACTGTCTCATTCTTAGAGATCCCTATTTTACAGGGAATGAAGGCAGGTCTAGGGCTGAAGTACTCTCTAAAAGATGCCTACAAGCTGGAAGCCAGTGGCTCATGCCTATAATCCAAGCTATAGGAGGCTGATCTGAGGATCATGGCTCAAAGCCAGGTTGGGCAGGAAAGTCTGTGAGACTGTTATCTCCACTAAACTACCAAAAAAGAAGCTGGAAATGGACCTGTAGCTCAAGTGGTAGAGCACTAGCTTTGAACAAAAGAAGCTCAGGGACAGTGTCCAGACCCTGAGTTCAAACCCCAGGACCAGCACCAAAAAAAAAAGACCTTTATAATGTAACAGTAGTTGTGGTGGTAGAAGTCTCTGTCCCTAGTATGATGCTATGTGGGGTCTTCAGAGAGCTCTAACCTGAGCCACCATACTGGTAACATCTCCAGGATTGGAGGGTAGTAGAATAGTGTTGGAGTCCTTGGCCAGTTTGGAGAATGCACTGACATACTGCTCGGCCACACTCAATGAAGCTGCTGCATCTCCATTCTGTGGTCAGAAAAGGATAAAATTAGAGATGACAGATTTGGGGAAGTATGGGGAAAATGGTCAGGTTTCTAGGAAAGGGGTATACAGAGTTCATATATAAGAGTTCATATAATATGGCTCAAAGGAGTTCCTGCAATGGCAGGGACTCTCCCATGGGTAGATGAGACCACTTTCGTTGTAATTCCTGTCCCCAACTCCCACCCTTCCTTTGGTCTCTCACTTGTTGAGTCAGAGCTGCAGCCAAGATGCGAATAGCTTCAGCCTTAGCCTTAGCCTTGGCAAGAACTGCACTAGCTTCTCCTAGAAGAAAAGAGACAGTATAACTCATCAAGTCAGAGTATCTCAAAGTTCCCATCCATGCCCGCCCTACACCTCTTTCACCTTCTCCCCTCTACTTACCTGCTGCCTGATTTATTTGCTCCGCCTTTTCTGCTTCGGAGGCCAGGATCTGGGCTTGTTTCTTCCCCTCTGCCACATTGATGGCTGACTCACGGGTCCCTTCAGACTCTAGAACTGTAGCCCGTTTCCGCCGCTCTGCCTCCACCTGGATGCCCCAAGTAACCACAATCAACAAGAAGCAAGAGGAAATTCTAACACATACCTACAGCTATACTTATTACAATAGGGAAGGAGTCCAGGTTCCCCCAGGACTAGAGTACTCCGAAGTCTTCTTCCCCACCTGCATTTGCATGGATTCTTTCACCCGTGGTGGCACGTGGATATCCTTGATCTCATAACGGAGGCAAAGGATGCCCCAGCAGTCAGCAGCCTGGTTGATGGCATCCACAATACTGGCATTCAGGGACTCCCGTTCCTAGAGAAGAGAGTTGTAAGCTCCACAGACTCCATACCTGTGAGGAGCCTAAGTCAAGGAGAGCCTGGGAGCCTGGTGCTAGTTGCTCATGCCTGTAATAATAGCTACTCAAGAGGCTGAGATCTGAGTACTGTGGTTCAAAACTAGCCTAGGCAGAAAGGTGCATGTTTTTTGTTTTTGCTTTTTTTGGTCATTTGTGGGGCTTGAACTCTGGGCCTGGGCGCTGTCCCTAAGTTCTTCAGCTCAAGGCTAGCACTCTACCGCTTGAGCCACAGCACCACTTCTGGTTTTCTGAATGGTTTATTGGAGATAAGAGTCTCACAGACTTTCCTGCCTAGACTGGCTTTAAACTGTGATCCTCATATCTCAGCCCCCTGAGTAGTTAGGATTATAGCATGAGATTCTTATCTCAATTAATAACCCCAAAACCAGAAGTGGAGCTGTGGCTCAAAGTGGTAGAGCGCTACCCTTGAGCACAAAATCTCAAGGATAGCGCCCAAGCCCTGAGTTCAAGCTCCATGACCAACAAAACACACAATGAGCTTGCACACCCACCCACACATACACTCACTCACACACACACACACACACACACACACACACACACACACACAGAGTCCGGGGCCAGGCACTGATAGCTCATGCTTGTAATACTAGCTTCTCTGGAAGCTGAGGATCATGGCTTGAGATCAGTGATAATTTTATCTCCAGTTCATGACCAAAAAGCCAGAAGTGGAGCTGTGGCTCAAGTGGTAGAGTACCAGCCTTGAGTGAACACGCTAAGGAATAGCACTCAGGCATGAGTTCAAGCCCCTGTATAAGGGAAGAAGGGTTGAGGAGGAAGAAAAGCCTGGGACTAGAAAAATCTGACAGTGTAAGGCATGTGCCAGGTCCAGATCCACTTACCCGAAAGACTTTGTCCAGAGAGAGTTTTCCGAGTTCTGATCTCATGGTTGTCTGAGCTAGCTGAGTGACAGCGTACTCAGGGTCTTCCACACCATAACTTGCCTGAAAAGGAGCATCAACAGTATAAGCTTGTATGTTGGAATTTAGTGAGAAGGGCAACTCAGAAAGCTGGATAAAGCATGAAGCAGATACCTTGTAAGGATCCATAATGCGCAGGTATAGGACTCCATCTATTTGCAGAGTTACATTGTCTGCAGGAGCAGAAGCAGTAGAGAAAAGGAGGTCAGGCCTCCAGATCCCAACCAGCTTTTTCTCCTAAGTTCTGGATCTACAGCAACTACATCCGAATGGTCACAGAGCACCCGTGTCACCCTGTATCCCTCACCAAGAGTCACAGCCGACTGCTCAGGCACGTTGATGACAATTTCCTTGAGACTCTGCACATATCGGATCCGGTCTAACACAGGGATGAGGATGTTCAAGCCCTGGGAAGAGGAGTCATAAGTCCTCAGAAGAAGAATGCATTGAAATCTAGGCTAGGCCTGGATTAGGTAGGAAGTCACATACAGATTATGCCCAAAATGAAGCACCTTCCAAGAGATGGAGTGTCGCTGGCAGAGGAACTTAAGGGCACAGGAATGAAAGACTAGACCTCTGAAATGGAGAAGTCAAGGGAACGAAGGCCAGCAGAATAGGTACCTCTAAGCAAACAGTTGAGGCTGAGACAGTGGATAGTACCTGTAAGGCCCACCAAAAGTAGAACCTGTAGGATGCTAGGGCAATAGGAAAAAGTGGCAAGAAGGGGCTGATGGTCATTACATCGAGCCCTGCTAGGACTGGTGACCCTGGGAGTCAGAAGCCAAAGGGACATACAGGCCCCAAAGATGCCCCACACCCACACGTGAAGGACTAGGCATCGGGCTGGCTGGAAATGAGAAAAAGGTTCTCACAGGCTCCAGGATCCGATGGAATCGGCCCATTCGCTCCACCACCCAGGCCTCCTGTTGCGGCACAAACAGAATCACAGTGTTTCGGGGCAATCCAGAGGAGGCGCGGTGCGGAGCACGGCGAGAAGCCTGCACAGAGCCCTGAAGGAAAGACCAGAGCAGGCTGAGACTCCACCCGGCCCCTCACCCCACCTCTCTCTCCCGAAGACATCTCCCCAAACCGCGAGCCTCAAGGGATCTCGGGGAACGACTCACGTGGGGACCATGACCTCTGACCCCAGTTTTCTCCCAAAGTTGGAATCCCACTCCTTCCCAGCTGCGGACCCAGGTGGTCTCTGTCCCGACCCTTTGTATAAGACTGCCTCGTTCTCACCCTTAGCAAAAGGGCTCCAGTGCCCCGCGCCGCGCGCGCCAGCATTTCCCACAGCCGAAACGACCTCCGGAACCACCGAGACGCGGAGCAGAGTGGCCTCTCTAGAAAGCCGGACCTGAGCCTTCCCCCCCCCCCCCCCCCCCGCCCCCCCCCCCCCCCCCCCCCGCCGCTCCACTCCCCCTGACGTACTTCCGCCGTCCCTGCCCCCATTCCGCCCTGACCCAATCCGCGGTGCTCCGCTGACCGCGCGTCAAGTTGTTCCCTTGGAAACGCAGACTTTGAAAAGAGGGCCCAGGGCTGCAGGCTTCTTTTTCTAGTTCTTGCTGTTAGAGCCCTAAATCCTTGATCCTGTGGTGAAAATGGGCTCTATTTTCCACATACAGCTGACTCAAAAACACCTCCCATCAAGTTCTTTACCCCCACCGGGGAGGGGGGGTGTACATGGGTGCGCACAATCGCACCCATCTGTCACAATAGTGTCCTTGGATTGAAGCTGATTCGTTGCCGTGGGTGCCATAGTGATATTTTCTTGTATTCCTTCTGTTGTATCAAACCCTCCCACTGGGGACTGACCCCATTCACATTGCCATGGTAACTGGACCTAACTTTGCCTGATGACTGGGGACATTTTTCCATCCTCTTTTCTCCCAAGGTACCAACAGCTCTCCCACTTCTTCACAGCCAGACTGTCAGGCCTCGTCCCTCTACATTCAGAGTACAATAGCTTTAACCTTCAACTTTGTCTGTAGTATGTCATCTTACACGTATAATCATATGTGTATAATCATAACCCTCACTTCATACACGAAAGCATACAAGTTCTGTGAGGCTAACGTTATTAACAGAACCAGTATAAGAATCCAACTTAACCACCTTCTCCAACAACCTTGTTATATGAAAATCACAAGACTATGCTCCAAAAATTAGAACGAATATCCTAAGTTCCTGAGGGCTCAGGCCTGGTCACTGTTCTTTGGAAGAAAGCTGAGTTCTAACTCTAATTAGGCCCTCTACTCTCCTCCACATCCTGTCTCCAACAGAAAAAAAAGAAAGAAAGAAAGGAGTTCAAGTTTTCAAAGAAAAATTTATTCTATTTTTTTCTAAAAAAAAAATGTACCAGGTACAGTTTTTCTTGTTTTTTTTTTTTTCCTTCAAGTTTCAGCAAACACTTGTTCCCCTCAGCCAGGCCTCAGGATTTAAGAGCTGAGGCTGGGCCAGAATCTGGAGTGAAGAATGGGATAGTTGGGAACCACATGACTGAGTTTGAGGGGTATCCCTCACCCCAGCTGAGGTAGGTGGATCAGAGTCTGGCCAAGTGAGAGGAGGCACCCCAGTCCTTAGCCCTGACTCTGCCCCTTTGACACCCTCCTCAGTCAGGACTCTAAAGCAAGGAGACACAAGCAAGAGGGCAGGAACAACTGAGTGTGAAGCCCTAGGTGATTGGTAGTTAACTCCTATGTGTGTGTGTCTGCATGCATGCTTTGTCTCATACATACATACCACACAAACACAAGCTTGTATATGCGTGTGCACACACACACACACACACACACAAATTAGACGTTTAGATGGGTCAAATGGTAGGGGAAATGAAGGTAATGGGGAAGGACAGGGGAAGCTGAGTCTTTGGCTAGTGACTCAGTCACTGTGGAATAAACTCTCTGTCCTTAACTGAGGGACAGCAATTTATCCCTGCCCCCACAACAGCCTCTCCAACTCCTGATGTTGGTGCAGTATCTGAGAGTGGGAAAGGAGAAGGGGTAATACCAATGATCAGGTCTGGGAGGTTACCAAGGCAATCCAATTTGAATAAATTATAAATTAAAAATAAATAAAGTAATAGATGTCCCCTGCCCAGGACAGGGAGTTAACGCTGGCATGACTTGCCTGGGAACATGGGATAATCTCAGGGTGGCTCTGGTTCCTCCCTTCTACCTAAGCTGGCCTGAGAAACCCAAGGAAACAGGCACATGGAAGTACCTGGAGTGGGGCAGGGTGTGGAAGGATCAGAAGGTTTAAACTCCCAAATAATCAATTTGGGTATGAGTGTGGCCAGGACTTTAATTTAAGCCTGAAGGGGCTCTTGCCATCTCTCCACATGTTTACCCTGTCCAGGATGGAGCAGTATGGCAGGCTTTTGGCCAACCTAGATTCAAGAGTGCTGGTAATCAGAGCAAAGGTGAATAACGTGGATTATGGGGGGCCTCAGTCACAGCCTGTAGTTCATAAGGGAGCCCTGTGTCCAGCTCCAGGCTCCGACGGGAAAATAGCAGGCGGATATCTCCATGCAGGCTTAAGCGGCCTGAGCGGGAGCTCCGGAACCTGTAGGAAGATAGTGGGATCCAAGTAAGAATCCAGATGACAGAAAAACAAGGAGAGATCCTATTCCAGGATATCTGGGCCTCCCAAGCTCTCTATGAGTCCTGTCTTTACCTGAGGTGCAGCAAATAGCAGAGGAGGCGGTGGGTGGGGCTAGTATTTCCCTCCTCACCCACAGGCACCAAAAAGAGGCGATGGCGCAAGAAGGTCATGTGGGCAGCAGGCATGTCCGAGAAGTCAAAGGTCACGAGGAACATCTTCACCACAGTCTGGTTGGGGTTAAATAAGGTCTAGGGGCAAGACACTGAAAGTTGTTAGGGCCTAGAGGCTGTTTTCCACTCTTCCCATACCCACTCTATTCCCTCAGGGAAAACTCACCACTTGGATGGTGCCCACCTTAGGCACACTGTAACCCTTCCTCCCCAGGGGGTTCAAGTCCACGACACCCTAAGAAGACCATAAACCATTAGCCTAAGTGGGAAATAGGAAAGCCCTGAGCCCTACGTATTGGTCTCTACAAGATCTCACACCTTGGACTTGCCTCTGCCCCACACTAGAATTTCCCCCACCTGACCTTGACTCACTTCTAGTGGAAGAACATAGAAAGAATACCTTTTTACCCTCCCTCTGCCCCTGACCCCTCTGAGAAGCTAACTTGGGTTGGGGTCAGGTCATACCAGGAAGGGGGCCGGGGCATTTTGCTCAGAAACATCAAAGAAGGTGACAGTGACAGGCAGCGTGACATGCTGGGGGCAGTAAGACCCACTAGCTCCAATCTCTGCTGTGTAGCCCTCAATGTGGCCAGATGGTGCAAAGCGTCCTCGAAGCAATGATTCCTGGTGTTATGGTGGGGAAAATACATTGTGAGAAATGCCGATTCTTTTCCTTATGCGACTGAGCCACATTTCACTATCCCAGTCCTCCCAGGTTTCCCCTAATCACAAAGTCCAAGAGAAGCTACCTCAAAGTTGCCCAGCAGGGTACGGCTGACAGCAGGGGTTGGAATGGGGGAGGCACTGGGGGAGCTCAGCAGGCCTGGCCCCTTCCGGAGACTTCGAAGGGAGCTCCTGGCATGGGAGGGGACACACAGTGAGTTGGCTTGAGAGATTCTGGGACTCCACCCTTAACTACTATCTAGGGCTCCTGACCTGAGATCCCCTACTGTAGCATTCAGGGTCAGGGTAGAGGGAAAAGCTGGTCACTTACAGCTTCAGACGACGGGCACCTTTCAGCCTCCGTCCCATGGGACTGCAGTCTGTTGGGTCCTATAGAGAAGAAAGATTGGGAAAAGAGACTAGGTGAAGCCCAGATATATTCTGGGGCGGGGGCTCATCACAAGCTTGTATCTTGTTGACTTTCACCTTTTCCCACACATACGTCCACTTAAAGAGTAGATAAGCTTAATTTAAGCTGGGTGGTGTTGCTTGTAATCCTAGCTACTCAAGAAGCTGAAACTCTTCTTTCCAATTAACCACTAGAAAACCAGAAGGGGAGCTGTGACTCCAAGTGGTAGAGCCCTAGCCTTGAGCAGAAAAGCCAGGGACAGCACCCAGGTCCTCAGTTCAAGCCCCACGCCAACCAAAAAACAATGACAAAAAAGAATACTTAAGCTTCCTGGGTGCTGGTGACTCGTATCTGTAATCCTAACTACTCAGGTGATTGAGATCTGAGTATTGCAGTTTGAAGCCAGCCCTGGAAGAAAAGTCTGTAAGACTCTTATTTCCAATAAACTACTAAAAAAGTCAGAAGTGGAGCTATGGCTCAAATGGTAGAGTGCTAGCTCTGAGCAAAACAGAAGCTCAGGAGCAGCATCCAAGTCCTGAGTTCAAGCCCCAAGACCAGCACACACACACACACAAAAAAAGAGTAGATAAGCTCCTTTACTAGCTTACCAAAACAGGCTCCTTGGGCCCGGGCAGCAGGTGGCTCCAGAAGGGTGTGGCTTTGGCATCAGAACTGTTGGCAGCAAGAGTATGGCCCAGGGTTTCCCGGCGCCTCCGAGGGGCTGGCCCCTCATCCTCAGAGCTGATATCTGGGGCTTCTCCAGCAGGAAGCAGCCTTCGCTTGGTGGGGCAGGGGCCTGGAGGTCCAGGGCCAGGGGGTGTGTGCTCGGGACTGTGCCCATTGGCAGTGCCAGGGGACTCCCTGGGCCAAGGGTTGCCCCCATTTCTCACCCCAACCACTGGGCTCTTACCCCCTATTTGTGCAAGACTGTGCAAATCAGTGTCAAGTGTGTGCAGTTGGCCTGAAGGGGCTGTCCCTAGAGACTGCCCCAGGGACCCCTGTCCCCCTGGTTCAGGGGAAGCCCAGTCTCTGGTGTGCAAAGTATTGCAGGAAGCATTTGATGGGGACCTGGGAGGACTCCGGGCCCCTGAAGTCCAAGGTGAGGTGGCACTAACTCCCTGTTCCACAACACAGAGGCCATGATGGGAGAAATGTTGGCTGGCCACACCCAGTCCCAGCCCCAATCCCTCTAGGCCCAATAGTCCTACAGTAGATGGTTCTTCAGGGGGCAATCCCTCTCTGACCCCCAGCCCAGGGCCTCTTTTCAGCTCTCGTGGACCCTCAGTGGGTGGGGCTGGCCGCTTCAGAGCCCTATGAGGTTCAGAGGCACCAGCTGGAGGGGAAAAGATGGATACCTGGTAGACCCCGGGGGATGTTACCCCCCCTGCTGGGCTGTAGCCCATGAGCAGGCCACCCTGGAGGGCCCCCTGTCTGACTGGAGGCTGTGAAGGGCCAGCCTCTGGTTCTGAGGATGGAGATGGCTCCGCCTGCACGTGGCGCATGAAGTCCCCCCTTGGGTCAGGGGGGCCCCCCCACACGGCCTTTATGCTGGGCCTGGGCTGGGGGGCCTGGGGACATCTGTGCAAGAGAAGAGAAAAAAATATGGTCAGGGAAATCAATGACTTCCATCTAGCTGCATTTCAGACCCTCACCTAGCTTAAAGAAATGACCTTGAGGAATTCCTGAAAGTGAAAGTGTCCAAATCCCTGGATGGATGAAGGGAAAGCAGAAGCTACTCTCAGAACTCTTGAGAGTGTAGCATTTTTAGTTCAGATTTCTCATTGGATCTATTGCTCTCTCCTCTTCCTGGCACTTACCCCGATGAAGAGGTGTCAAGTCTAGCCGTATGTCCCCTCTTCCTGACTGATGCCTTGATCCCCTAGGTTGCAGTCTGGTCCATGCCCGCTGCACTGGCAAGGTGACTGCCAGCATTCCGTGCAGCTCCTGGGCTCAGCTGGACCCTAAGGAGAGAAGAACAGACATAAACCAGGATCCCCAGAGTCAGTTGTAAGGCCTTTCCTGATCATGGGTTCATAGAGTATATACTTCAGGGCATCCTCCTCCCAAGTGACCATCTCTTCAAAAACAGAAGGGGCAGGCTCAGGATTCAGGACTCAGGTGCTAAGCGCTGGGCAGCCTAAAGAGTCACAGAAAAACAGATCTTGGCTCAAGGGAGTAAGGATGTGAAAGGAAAGTTTAGGCAGGAGGCGCCCCTTGTCAGAGTCACCATCTTGGGAGATGAGATAACCTCAAGATCAAAGAGACCAGGCCAGATAGAAGGTGGCTGGGGCAATAATTCAGCTCTCTTACTCAAGGCCACAACTTCTTCCCAAGTCTATCTCCAAAGGGACAAGTGCTACCCTAAAGTGCTAACGGCAGAGATCTGGCAGACACACATCATACCCCATCACATACTCCACAAAGGTACAAACCTCAGATCAGCTAAAAGCCAGCCCTTCAGCCTTGAACTCACAATAGCCCTCAGCAATCTGTCTTTTTAACAAGAGCCAACAAATCCAACCAAAAACAAGTGGGAGGAGACAGGGGCACTGCCAGACTCACTTTCCAGTGCCTCCCCCTCCCCCTACACCCTGCAAACTAGAGATAAGGAAGAAACTTGCAGTCAACTGGAATCAAGTATCCCTCCATGTCCCTCCCCCAATGTACAACCAACACCCACAAAACCCAAACCACTGCTTTTCTGCTAGGACACAAAATGGGCTTTGTGGACTATGTCACCTTTAGGAAGCAATACTAAGGGGAGGAGACTGTCAAGTTGGATGCCAACTGCCCTCAGGGTGTGCCTTCTCCTTTGGGCAATAACCTATGCTGCCTGCCATCCATAATGCCCTTAAATGGGTTAGGTGGTACACACTTGTAATCTCAGAACTCTGGGATTACAGTCTGCTTTCCACTCCAGACCAAAACATTGCACCCTCTGAAACCTCATCTATGTGAAGTATTGTTTAGTCCAGATCACAGGTGCCACTCCTCTATATATCTCCAAACATAGGAAAAAGTGCATAGTAGGACTAAAAAACAAATAGAATGAAAGCTCTGGGGAACTGGGTAACAGTGCAGATAAAAATTCCCCGGTTGGGAAAAGCAGAGAGATTAGTTCTACAGGGAAAATCAGCAACAACAGATGTGGGGGTAGGAGGCCAGGAGAAAGAGCACATTTACACTCAGGGACTGAAAAGCTCTCTTATGCCAATTATTCCCTTCATCACACACTCAGTTCACCATGTCTTCATTGGAATTAAAATCCCTAAGCAAATTCTGAACAGTTTCAGTAGTTAGGATGGCTGGAAAGGACAAAGCACCAATAGCAATGTCAGTATGCCTTCACTTTACCCTTCCTTTCCTCCATTCCAGTCATATAGGTTCAGGAAGGGACTTTTCCTTAGTACCACTTCTGGGTCAGCACAGCCACCCTCTTGAGCCCTTGCCTTGGGGCAGCCAGGTGATGACATGATGCCCTACATGACCCTAGCATGCCTGGCATCTACTTATTATGCTCAGTTCCTGCCCTGTCAACAAGACACTCTTAAGACTTCCCCTGCCACCCAGCCAGTCTGGCTTTAGACCATGGCTTCAAGCTGACTCATGGGGCAGGACTGGGGTGGGGGGCAGGGCAAGATAGGCCAAACCTCGCCCTCTGTCCAGGGGGTGGGCAGCAGTTGGCATCAAACAGCTGTGCCAGGCTGTAGCTGGCAAGGACTACAGTTCCCAACATGCCAGGTAGCAAGGCTAGCAAAAACAACAAGTCCCAGAATACAATGGGGTCTACCCTCAGATACTTGCTAGGCCTGGGCAGTAGGAGAAGTGAGTATAGGTAGAGCTACTAGGCTCATCCTCCTCGGCTCCTCAGTATAAAGGATACCCATTTTCACCCTGACAAAGGAGACTTAAAGAAATTCCTATCCATGTGCCTCCTACCTCATCCTGTGCAGCAGACAGTAGTAATACACTAGATGCTCTACATTTTGTCCCTATGCATGTCCACACATGCTAAGGTGGCTGTTCCCGCAGACCACCACCACCATGGGTAAAGTCAGGGTCTGCCCTCCTCAACTCTTTTGAGAGGTCCTGTCCTACGGCCCTTCACCCTTAATAAGAGGGCGCAGACCCCAGCAACCCCTCCAAACTAAGCCCATCACACTCACCTTGGCGTCTGGTTTCCTTGTTTTGGTTGATCCCCCACCCCCAGCTTAGCTTCCCAGGTCCTTTCCTCTTCACTGCCTGGGACAGGCCCCATATCCTACCGGGGCTTCAGAGTTCTACTATTTTCCTCTAGCACACACTCACCCCGCTCCCAAATTGGCTCCTCTGCGGTGGCCGCTGCTCCGGGCCCTTCCGTCCCGTCCCGGTCCCACCCCTCGGATCCCCAGTCCTCCCTGTCACGGGCCCCCCAACCCAGACAAAGGGTGGCTCAGGCTGAGAGCCCTGCTCTGCTAGGTTCTTCTCTGAACAGCTTCGTGTGCAACACTAGCGGGCCCTGGCGTCTGCAGCCCCCCGGCGGCTACTGCGCCCCTCCCCACTACGGTCCCTCCCCGGGGCCGCCCAGGCTCCGCGCCGCAGACTCGGCTGCCCCTCTGACTCACAGGCCATTTCCTACCAGCTGATGGGGCCGCCCGCCCCGCCCAGCGCCCCACCACCCCCGCCGCGGCAACCACGGCCGCCACGCCCCCCTCAGACCACACCCTCCTTGAGCAGAAACCATGCTCATTGGCTCAGAGCCGGCCGGCCTCCTTGCAGCGGCAAGTGTGAGTCACGCCCTCTCCAAGAGGCGCACGCCTATTGGCCCAGAAGGGGACAGGCCTGCCCAATATCGCCACGCCCATCTCCTTAACTCCACACCTGCCAGAGTCCAAGCAACTCTCCGCCTGGCCATTTAACTCCTTCAAAGGCATAAGCCTCCTATTTCTCAACCCTCCTCCCCCACTTGGAAGCCCTAGACACAATTCAACAGCCCTCAAAGTCAGCTTGCTTTTTTCATACCAGATTCAAACCCAAATGTCCCCACACTCATTCACCTCCTTACATTCCAGCCTAAGCTCCCAGCCAGCTGAATCCTAGGAAGTTTCCTTCATACCAGAGCAGCAGAAAAAAAGGCGAGGGTGTGTGCTCCATCTCTATTCATACTGAGAAATCATATTCTTCCTTTTTTTAATGGCTATTTGGTGTTCTTTTGTCTTTGTTAGAAGTGTTCCAAGGGCTCCTGAGGTAGGGATACATTTTAATTTCAGGGACTCTGGTATTATTCTTCAAAATTCTGAACTCCTACTCTGAGATCAAGGTGTCCCATTTCTTTTCCTAACACTCTTTATTCAAAGGCTTCTGTTCAAGGAGGCTGAGTACCTTAGGAAGTGGGATAGGAGGGCTTCTGCCCAGAGTGGGGGAAATGAGACCAACGATTGAGATGGAGCTGATTTTCATGACTCACAGCTCCCTCGAAACTCTCCACCCTCTCCCTGAGTCACTGGGCCCCAGGCCCAGCCCAGATACAGCTAAATCAAAAGGCAGCAGAACTAGCATCTCTAACTATTGTCATTCCATTTTTTAAATGACTATAATGATGGAATCTTTGCAATAATTGGGCATTTAAAGGCCCCTTTTCAGAGCAGCTGCTGTAGACATAACCTAAGAGAATGGGTGGCCTTGTCTACCTTGCTGTCTTGTCAGAATGTCAGGTTGTCTCCAAGTCAGATAACCAGGCTTTTTCCCCTCCCCTCCCCCCCTTCTGACATTAACAGAAAGCAAGAAACAAACATCAGAACCAAGAGAATAATTCTTTCCATAATTTAGAGACCAATTAAGGGCCTAGGTTCTTGTTTTGGCCTTGCCTATGTTGCAAGCCCCACCCCCCCACCCCCCAGGGGCATCAGGTGTCCACTGAAGAGCAAAAAGAGGCTTCCCTTCCGTAGTTCCTCTTTGTGCTCCACACTTAAAAGAGACAAGCAATAGTTCCAGCTTTCCTTCTCCTCATCTCAGAAGAGGGAAAAAAGACAAAAAAGAACCCAGCCTTGGACTGACTTCATTGCTGATTTCTAATACTAAGGAACAAGATTGAGGAAATTCTCAACACCCAAAAGCAAAACTGCAGAATAGCAATATAAGAACCCATTTACCTTGGTAAACACTTATTAGAAAAACATGTAGAGAACCAGAATTCTATAGGAAAAGAATAACCCTCTAGTAACCCTATCTTGTATCTTTCTGCCATTACCATAGATCCAGGTCTCAGTTTCCTACCAGGGTCATGGGGACAATAGTAAAGCCAGGAGGATCTAACAGTTTCAGGCCTTAGTGTAGCCTGGGAAGGAAGCATGGTACAACTAAGAGGTTTTTGTTTGTTTTATTTATTTATTGAAACATATCCTAGGCTGGCTTTGAACTCAAAACTTATTGCCTCAGCATCCCAAGTGCTTGGGATTACAGCTACTGGGATTACACTCAGCTCAGATCAAGAGGTTTTACCTAACTCCTCCAGTGTTATCTTTTCATGGATTTTTCTTTCATTTTTCTTTACCAGGTTTTGCTAGGTGTCCCAGGCTAACCTCAAACTGAAAATCCCCCTTCCTCAGCTTCCTGAGTACTGGGATTATACACATGTTCCACCAGGCCTGACTCATCTTTTTAAAAAAATAGTTATCACCAGCTGACCAGTCCACTCCTCTTTCTCACAAACATACACGCAATTTCTTTCTCCTCTGTTACAATGGAAGCTCCATGAGAGCAACAACTCTTTTCTTTCATGCTATATTTCCAGAGTCAACATCTTACAGCGCCTGGAACATAATAGACACTGAAAAAAATTTATAAAGAAAACAATGGGTCTTAGAGTGGTGAATAACAGTCTAGAGATCTGGATAGTCACTTCTGCTCTTTTACTTTGAAACCTGGGGAATTAGTTTCTTAAGCTATAGATTTCTGAATCTGTAAAATGTGAGTTTCCATATAAACAATGACCACTGAGGGCCTCCATGACACTGGCCTTATAATTTTCACAGTTTTTGTGCATTCATATGCATCTCTGAGGATGTGCTCAAGCATCTAAATGCTCAGTTGCCTGCACCAAAGCAGAAAAGCTATTATATACTTCAGTCTCTGCACAGCAAGGGCTACCTCTTAGGTCCCACCCACTAATACAAAATGCCCCAGTCCAGAGGAAGCTGATGTGTCTGCCCTAGGCCCTCCCTTTCTCAGACAGGAGACAGCGCTAGAAAGCAGTGTTACCATAGCAATCAGATCCTCTTCAAAAGGCTTCAGCCAGCCTTCTTTTACCCCACTCTACCCCAAGGCTTTGTGTGGCCTCAGTTACATCTCCCTCCCCCCCACCCCCTACTTCCCCAGGCAGTATCTAAGCTACTGGGTGAAGTGTGAGGAGGCTGGCTTGCGGCCCCTTTCAACAACACTGTGACCCTCATTCAGTAGGATAGCAGGGACTTCTTTGGAGCGGACCTTACATTCTTCATCCTTCTCCCAGCCAGCCTAGAGGAAAAAAGAACCCTGAAACTACATTGAGTCCCCTTGGGGGATCAGAGATGCTCCCAAGGGGGACTAGCTCCTATTCTCAATTTCTAAGCCTGAAATGTGGGGAGCCACATTCTTCCCTCTTCCTTCTCAATCTGCAGCTGAAACTAATGTCCCTTCCCAGGTTCAGTTTAGAATAGTGGCCCACCTCTTAAAATATACACCAAAGAGTCTCAATACTTTCTCCTACTCTCCTTCCAGAAACCCCCAGAACTTTTGAATTCCATAGAATTCTCCAACCAGGGGGAGATAAGGGGAGGGAAAACTAGTTTTTGACAAGTGATAAAATAGTTACTAGTCAGTTGAGTCTGTTGGCAAAGACCTCGGTGGTAGAAATGGGGTGGATCAGAGGGTTAGTAGGGTCGTCTCTAACTATAGAGTCCAGAGTCCAGGACAGGGCACAGGTTCCCATACAGGCAAGAACCAGGCCAGGCCCCTGGGTGAGGAAGGAAGTGGAAATGAGCACACCCATAGCACAGGGCAGGGCAAAGTGGGGGAGGAGGGGACAGAGACCAAGGCAGCCTTCTAGGAGGAACAGGAACTATCCTATCCAGGGGGGGTTGACAGGAACCCAGTGGCAGAAGGGTCCTTACTACCCTCAGGGACTTCAGTAAGGGGAAGAAACCCCAGTCTTAGCTAGACGGATTCAAAGTCAACTTAGGAGACAGTTAAGGAGACAAACTCTGGTGGCAAGCAGGGCCTGGCTGCTGTCTTGAGTAATCAAGCAGGAAGGTAGAGTTAGAAAGTGAGCAGCCAGGAGCACAACAGACTAGCTTCTTCACCCACTAATTCCAGCACCCTCATAGAATACAAAACACAAATGTCTCCCCGGAGTCCTTACAATGCCCTTGACTGTTACTCAAATAACGGGGATCTCTCTCTTAACCGGGTCCTATAACCCCTGCCTATCACAAGGTACCCACCCACAGCCACATTCCATCAAATAGCTGCTTTTACCTCTTACACAGTGGACCACAAAACTTCCATCACACAGCCCTCTTTCCCAAAAGTGCCTCCAAATCCCCTCAAGTATCGCTTCCAACTTTCCACAGCACAAAGCACCCCACCCTCTAACGCTGCGCCACTACCTTCACAGAGCGCTGCCACCCTTCCCCCTACCAGAGCCCCCAGAAAATGCACCTCTTCGCTCACACCTTGAGCCCCTAACTGCTTCCCCAACTCCTTGTCTCCTTTCTACAGCAGTCTCCACACCCTTTGCTCTACCGGTGCATCCCACCTCTCCTCGTCTTTCCCCAAGCGCACTCTCGTCCTGGCCCCTTCTTCCTCACCTCCCCGCCCCACACCTGCGGTTCCGTGAGTCCTGTAGCCCTTGAGGAGGTAATGGGTTGGGACAGTGACTGAGCAGTCCTAGTTCAAGCCTGGGCCTGCAAACCTCGCCCCTTTGGTCCGAGCCCCGCCCTCGTAATGCCCCGCCCCCCCTCCTTGGTCCCAGCTCCCACCTTTTCTCCCCCTAGTCCCCTTTCCTCATTTCTTTAATCCCTCAGGCTCCTCCTCTGGTGCCCAAGCCACGCCCACCAGCGACTCCGCCCCTTTCGTTTTCTTTGCATTTCCCCAGGATCCTCCGCTTTCCCTAAACCTCACCCCTTGACCCCCTCCGGTTTGTTTCCTCCCCCTCCCCCCACCTTCGCGAGGACCCGCCTCCTCGAATTCCAGCCCAGCAGAATGTTAGCCAAATCTTGTCCCCCACACGCCCCCTCCCATCCCAGAGACTTTTCTTCTCTCCGCCCCTTCTCGCGGGGCCTCACCCGGACGCACTGGCTCCAGCCCCGATCCACTGGCTCTGATTGGTGGCGGTGGCCCCAATGGATGACGGAGGAGACAAAGTGTTAGCTGTAGGTCGCCTGAGGTCCCACCCCGGCCACGTGCGGCTTCTGTGATGACAGGTCGAGAAGGGCGGGGCCTTCGTTGGCCAGCTGCAAGGCCCAAACTGGCAGGATGGGGGAGGGGGGAAGAGGAGCTGGGCGCAAAGTGCAAGCCCAAGCCTGGCTAGTGTTCTTTCTAGATCTCTCTCTCTCTCTCTCTCTCTCCCTCTCTCTCCTTTCTCTTCTCGTTTATCTCTTCTTTTCCCTCCTCTT